TGGCAAGACGCATCATAGCAACAAGCACTCACTCACTGAAACATCAGATTGTTGATATGGTAGGGGGACCAGACTTCCTCTTTTTCCCGGACATGTCCTACTTTTCAGACCTAAAAAAAATGTCTGGGGGGAATTTGATGCTTTGCTAACATTGTTAGCCAATGTTCTGTCAGATGGGCATACCCCGTCAGACCAGCATACCCAGTGAATACAACTTTATCACTTTAGTTTTGAATGAAAAATACACTTTAAACTTTCAGCAGGCGTGTATTTATTTAGTCATGTGAAAAAAACAATTTAATTACTTACGTTTTGGTGTTTTTTGAAGCGTATGTTGATCTGACCTTAAATCTTTTTTTTTTGTACGTGACTAAAGGGAAACAAGCCCTTTGAGGTAGTTTAAAGTCTATTGTTCGTACAAAGCTAAAGGGATAAATACAAATCTGACCTCTTGTTCATGCATATTGACTATGGTATGGTGGTCTGACAGAACACCGCAACCAGGAAGTAAACATTAAAGTTCCTAGAGGTAGGATTTTCTAAGAATAGCCATTCAGAATTTATGAGAATATGAGAATTTATCAGGTGTGAGCCATTTTGGCAGAGCTTTTACTCCATATATTTTGGCAAGAAAGTAGAGAGAGCATACATCATTAAGGAAGTGGCCCCTACTCATGACTATGTGCTTTAAAGTTAACCCACCAAAACATTTAACTATCAAAACTTGCACTTCTAAACTAAAGTAAAATAAAAAGTAAATAAAACCGACCAGAATAGAATTTAAAATCCTCCTTCTCACATATAAAGCCTTAAATGGCCAAGCTCCATCTGATATCAGAGATCTGATTGTTCCTTATGTTCCTAACAGAGCACTTCGCTCTCAATCTGCAGGTTTACTAGTGGTTCCTAGAATTTCTAAAAGTAGAATGGGAGGCAGATCTTTTAGTTATCAGGCTCCTCTCCTGTGGAACCAACTACCAGTTTTAGTCCGTGAGGCAGACACCCTGTCTACTTTTAAGGCTAGGCTTAAAACTTTCCTTTTTGATAAAGCTTCTAGTTAGAGTGGCTCAGGTTATCCTGATCTATCTCTATAGTTCTGCTGCTATAGGCTTAGACTTTTGGAGGACATAGGGACCCCTTTTTCATCATTCTGCTTCATTCTATCTCTATTCTCCCACTCTGCAGAATCTGTTAGTTCAATCTCTAGCGTTCTGCTCTCTCTGCTTTTTCTCATAGTAGCTTCATCTGGTCTGTTCCTGTTTGGCTGTGACTCCATCCTGGAGAGAAATATCCGCTGTGCTGCTGCCATCAACACCTTTGTTTCTAGATGCTGGAGCTTGGCCTGTTTTCCAGTGTAGTCCTGTTTCTCTGACTGTGACTAACTGGATGTGCTCTCTTCATCCTCTGACATGGGAGCTGGCTCGGAGCTCGTCTGCCTGGCTGTGTGTTTCCTGGACGGGGCCGCCTGTGTAGCTGGTTGACAGTTGCCTTTTGTATCTATGCTTCTTTTTCTATGTCTGCTTCTGTCTCCTTGAACCCCAGTCGGCCTCAGCAGATGGCCGCTCACACTGAGCCTGGTTCTGCTGGAGGTTTCTTCCTGTTCAAAGGGAGCTTTTCCTCTCCACTGTCGCTACAAGCATGCTTAGTGTGAGGGATTGCTGAAGAGTCAATGAGTCGATGCAATCAGCTGGTTTTCCTTAGATAGAAAACTTTGAATCAATCTGACTGGATGATCTGGTGAACTGGAAAGTGACCTGAGATGAGATGATGTGAATTGGCGCTATAGAAATAAACTGAATAGAATTAAATATGATTAAGTAAATGCCAAAAGCCAGAGATGGGAAGTAAGGAAGTACAAATACTTTGTTACTGTACTCAAGTAGATTTTTCTGATATTTTTACTTTACTTTACTACTTATTTTTATGGCGACTTTTTACTTCTACTCCTTACATTTTTACACAAATATCTGTACTTTCTACTCCTTACATTTTAAAAAATTGTCTCGTTACTTTAGTTTTGAATCATTTCAATGGAGTTACCGTTATTATTTTTCACGTCATCAATACCAAATTCAATCTAATTGGATGGGAATCTACGTTGCATTTGACGCACCACTACAAGATGAATCGACAGATTCGGCGGTATTCATTGGCGGCAAATCATTGCAGCTTGGTGGCGGTGGCGTTAGCATAGTAGCATGGACGACGAGATGATTGAAAATGAAAACAACGGAGATCCCAGATCTGGATCTCCGCTGGACTTGTAACCAATGATGTGTTTGTATTTCTGGGTGTTGAAGCGAAAATACTTTGGACACAGTGTCTCTGTGTGTGCTTATAGATTGTTCTACACATTTGTAAATCTTACTACAGATTTGTAAATCTCAGTACATATTTGTAGATCTGAAGACAGATTTGTGGATTTTTTACACATTTGCAAACCAGATTACACACACACAGTAGTTTTACACATTTGCAGATTGTTGTACAGACACAAATCTCCTCACACATTTACAGTTTCATTTACACATTTTCAAATCCCCCTGCACACGCACAAATCGAGATACAGATGTACAACTCTCCACACACACTTGGAAATAATAAAGCAACAATTTTGGCCCCATAGGGACATCCATTTAAAATGTAGGCAACGGCATGAAAAAAGTGGTTTCTACTTTTACTTTTATACTTTAAGTAAATTTACAAGCCTGTACTTTGTTACTTTTACTTGAGTAAAGAAGTTTAATCAGTACTTCCACTTTTACCAGAGTATTTTTTGACACAAGTATCTGTACTTTTACTCAAGTACAGAAAGTGAGTACTTTTGCCATCTCTGCCAAAAGCACATTATTTCTTTCTTAGCTCAATGCGGTCGTCTTTGCTGCTAAATTCGCTGCAGACTTTACTAACAGTAGACGGTTTTCTTTTAGTTTCTTGTCTCATTTGCACCAAACACACAAAGCAGCACACAAACACACACCCTCCATTATCTGAAATGCAAAATCTCACACCCACATCCTGCAGACATGACTCCACCAGGGCATTTAACCTGGCTGCAAGCTAAAAGTTTTTTTTTTTTTTATCTTTTGCCATCAGGTTTAAAAATCTTACACTTTCATAAAACATCTCCACTTAGCATACAACCTTTTACTCTGAGACAAGGATGAACGTTCACACCTTTCTGACACTGATATTTCTATATCTCCTGATGTCTTACCCTGCTGTGACTTTAATTCTATTATATCCTCTTTGCAGAGGTAGGAGACAGCTCATTAGGAGGAGGAAGGAGTTGGCAGTTTGAGTAGACTAAGTGTAAGGAGCTGCTCTGAGTATTTTAACTCGTTTGCTTTTCCTACTCTGTGTGTTTCAGGGCTTGTTAGCGATGGTGCTCTGTTTGCCGTGATGGTGGGCTACGTGGGTAAAAGAGACATGCCACAGCCAGCCCCGCACCACTGCCACCTCCTCCTGGGTGGGGCCTTTCTGTTCATCCTGGTGAGCTCAGCTTTAAGCTGCCCGGCCCGCTGCGAGTGCTCCGCCCAAACCAAATCTGTCAGCTGCCACCGCAAGCGCCTGCCCAGCATCCCCGAAGGCGTCCCCATCGAGACCCGCACGCTGGACCTCAGCAAGAACAAGCTGCGCCTCATCACCACTTACAACTTCTCGTCCTTCCTGCAGCTGGAACACCTGGATCTCAGCGACAACCTCATCAGCGTGCTCGAACCCGGCTGCTTTCACTCCAACCTTGCTCTCCGCTCACTCAACTTCCGCAGCAACCAGCTCAAGATGGTTCTTAAGGGAGTGCTGTCGGGGCTCACGAACCTCACACACCTCGATCTGAGCCACAACGGACTGGTGATTCTCATGGATCACGCCTTCCAGGACCTGCACCGCCTGGCGTTCCTGGAGGTCGCCAACAACCAGCTGGTTTACATCACTCCGCGGGCTTTCGTAGGATTAATCGGCATTCAGAGGTTGAACCTGGAACGGTCCAACCTAACCGAGGTTCCGACCGATGCTCTGTCACATCTGCACAACCTGGTGGAGCTGCGCATGCGCTTTCTGAGCATCGCTTTGCTCAAGCCTTTCTCCTTTAAGAGGTTAAGTTGTCTCCGCCACCTGGAGATTGATTTCTGGCCCTTACTGGAGACCCTGCCTCCACTCTCACTTCATGGCCTCAACCTGACGACCTTGTTCATAACCAACACCAATCTTTCTGCCTTTCCTGGCGCAGCGCTGCGCAACCTGCCCTACCTCACTCACCTGAACCTGTCCTACTGCCGCATCCAGCACATCCACCAAGGAGAGCTTGGTCAACTCCCTCAGCTGCTGGAGCTTCGACTCCAGGGGGCTCAGCTGCTTTCTATTGAGCCTCTTGCGTTTGTGGGCCTTAAATCGCTTCAGCTGTTGGATGTGTCTGAGAACCACCTGGACTCTCTGGAGCGGGGGGTCTTTGCCTCGGCAGACACCCTGCAGAGGCTCTGCCTGGGTGGGAACCCGCTAGTGTGTGACTGCAGGCTGCTTTGGCTCCTCAGCAACCACCGGCCTCCCTCCCTGCAGATTCTGGACATTCAGCCCGAGTGCAGCGCACCGCAGCACCTCCTGGGCAAAACCCTCCGGGACCTAAAGGAGCCTCTGGTGTCCAGGTACATGACCTGCACCAAGCCGCGGGTGGGCCCCAATGCAACGCAGCTGCTGATGGCCGACGAGGGTCAGCCGGCGCGTCTGAGCTGCATGGCGGAGGGAGCTCCTCGGCCCTCTGTGGTCTGGATTACGCCTCACAGACGCTACATCACTACGAAAAGCAGCGGCAGGGTGGAGGTGCGGCTGGATGGCACCCTGGAGATCAAGACGGCTGAGCTGCACGACAGCGGCGTCTACCTGTGCATCGCCAGCAACCCTGCCGGCAACGCCAGCCTGTCTGCATCCTTAGCTGTGAAGAGCCTGGGAACGGGGGACAGATTTCACTACAGCAACAGGAGCTCAAACTATCTGACAGACTCTAACAGCACATGGGGGAACGGAACAATGCTGCACAACATGACGGTTCCCATCGACATGAAGACTATCCTCATATCGGCAGCCATGGGCTGCCTGTCCTTCCTTGGCGTGGTGGTGTTCTGCTTCCTGCTTCTGTTCGCCTGGAGCCGGGGGAAGGGACGCCACAGGAACAACTTCGACATCGAGTACGTCCCCCGTAAATCCAACGGGGCGGCTGCGGACACGGCAGAGACGAGCGGCCCGCGGCGGGTCAACATGAAAATGATCTGAAGGGCGACGCAGACTGAACGCCGTGCACACATATCAGCCAAAAAAAAAAAAAGCAAATTGTTTCTGGGGTTTTTTGTTTGTTGGGTTTTTTTTTATTTTTATGACAAAGTGGATTTGTGACAAACGGAAGTGATGTACTGTTATAGTGGATGTGGACATGACGGTGGTCTAGTGATTAAGTGGACTTGTGATATATGAAACCGTGTTTATATAAAATAATGTTCTAATACAGTACACTCAATATAATTCTATAACCAACATATCAATATGGGACTGATATAGTGTTGCACTAGGCGTGTGATTCAGTGGTGATGTGACGAGTAATGATATTGTCGACTCACCGTGACATCAAGGTGAAAGAAGGAGCCGCTGGGACAGACGGGGACATGGCTGCGTGGCGGTACAGCTGTCATCACTGCAACGTGTCACGACTAAATTGTCTCGTTCCCATCTTAGCTGCAGTGTGAACGGTGTGTGGGTGTGTTTGTGTGAGAGCGAGATGTATTTTGTGTGTTTCGTTGTGCATGTGCACGCATTGCCTTTCTCGTAGGAGGATGCAAATACTGAATGCTGGGGTCCAAAGTATGGAAAGAAATTTGTTCCAAAATCACGGGAAGCAAAGAACACGTCTCAGAAACGGAAATTTGAAGAATAATTGAAAAAAACAATTTATGATTCATAGAAAAGACTTGGAGAATAATTTATAATAGTCGTGGGAAGATCAGCTTATATTTTTACAGTGTTTTATTTTTCAGATTTGATTTTCACATTTTCTTTATTTATTTATTTATTTTTTAACCTGGAGCGCCATGCATATAGAATCAGTTCTATTAGTTCACCCACAAGCCACCCGAAAAGGTTACGGGATCTTAAAAGAGGGCAAAAAAAAGAACATTAATTCCAAAAAATTATTGCAAATTTAGAATCCGAAAAAAAAATATTTATGAAAATCTAATCATCAATTTTATTTTTAAAAAAGTTAAAAATAATATTAAATAATATTATTATTCATATTTTTTTTCTTTTATTAAGGAATTTCCTTTTTTGAAATATCTCTTTGCCTTCAATAATATTGGAACACATTTTTCTCCGTACCAAAGTGCTTTTTCCTGTTTTGGTTGTTTGTACTAACATTAATGTCACCGTTGATTAAAACAGGGATTTATATGCAAACTCACAATGAATCCATACTGAAGAAATGCTGCAGAAATCATAGAGAAGGTCAAATCTCACCCCCAACTTCCTCCAAAAAAAATAGATTTTTTTTTTTAAAGATGAAAACATGAATCTACCAACAAACAGCAGTGACCAGGCTCTGCTTTTCCTCTGGGCAAAAAATAGAAAAAGAAAAAAAAGAACAATTCCTGTTAAACCCATTTTATAACATAATAAATCACGGGCAGATTTTCCTGCCAGACAAATCCCTGGATATGAAATAAAGAAGCTGGTGGCCAGACACAGTGGCAAGGATTTACTGGCTGGCATCGTCTTCGGACGACGCCAAGCTGAGCTTTACTGATTTATGTGCTGAATTTCCCCTTCTCTCTGTCTTTCTTTCTTTGATCATTTTAAAGTTTAAAGTTGTCTGGTACCCCCCCTCTCCCTTAGGGCTGGGTGGGGGGGCGAGGGCAACAAGGGGGGTTCGTAAATGGCAGTTCTGAATGTTGTAGTGGCCTTTTTGTTTTTTGTTTTTCTGTTGACAATGTTTTAAATGTTTACGACGGGAAAAGAAGTAAAAGACTTAAGGGCAACTCTTTGTAACGTGGGTTGGGTGGGGGGGTGTTACCTTGTGTGATCCTGTTGTGATAAAATGTTCAAGATTGTATAATTGTTTTCATATGACAAATTTCTGGGTATATTTTCAAAAGGAAATAAATCTTAACCTTCCCCCTAAAACAAAGGTTTGGTTTTTGTATCTATTGGATTGATTCAAACGATCACATTGTGTCTCTATACTACAGTTCCTTAGGGGTGCAAACAGGTTGCAAACACATAAATGGTAGAGGATACAAAAAGAATTATGAAGACAAAATTTAGATTAAAACCCAAATATGAAATGCAGACATAAATGATGCAAACACGCTGAGAAAAGACATGCTGCAAGTTAAGAAAGCTTTTCATCTCAATGGTACCTTTCTGACCACTAGGGGGAGACAATCTTCATAGACATTCCGAAAAAACAAATCTCTATTGTTCATTCAAGGTACGTGAAACAATGGCCGCTTCTCAGTTCCCAAGAACACGAGTACGGACTCGTGATCTCGCCAAGTCTGTTCTTGAGAAGAACCCAATAAAGTCGGGACTCGGGGAGAACGGGAGCACGCAGCATAGATATGAGTCAACTGGAACAGAAGGGTACTGATGACATCACCACATTCAAAGCTGGTCTGCATTTCACCTCCTATTAATAGTCTCTAGACAATAATAAATTCTTAATTTTTTCATCTAGTGGGGGAATAATAATGAACACAGTCAGTCAGACGGGCTAATGTTAGCAGCACTAACTTCTAGATAAAAATCCTTTGGCTAATATGGCATCAGAACGCTGATAAGTGTCCACCATATTGGATCAGTCCATTTGCTGCACATGTTCAGAAAGGTCCAAACAGACAGCAGCAAACCATTTGAAAATGGTTTCTCTCCAACCTCCTTCTCAAACAGATCTCCATCAGTAGATCCTCCTCCCTGGTCCTTCCTGTTTGTTGGAAATGTTCTCCACCTCCAGCAGACTCCAGAAAGTACCAATAAGCCCTACAGAGGAATGTTGGGCCCAGTGTCCTACTCTGTCATGGTTTTGGTTCTACCTAAGTTTTGTCTTTGAATTTTCATTGCAGTTATTTCCATTTTGCTATTCTAGTTATTTTTGATTGTATTTGAGTTCTAAGGTAGTTCTCATTTGCCCTCTGCTGCCCTCTAGTCTCAGGCTCTGTTCGAAAACCTAGGACGTGTCCTCCAAGGACGCGGTCTACCTAGACTGGATCCTTCGAAGTCCTTGAAAATAAGGAGACCAGAAGAGTTTTGGCTGTAAATTCGACCAGGTCTACCCTTTGGCAGGTTTTACTGCCATATGCTCTGTTGCTTAGCAACCGTGAACGTTGACACACAAAGCAAGAAAAGAATGAATACAGAAGTTTTCAAAACTGTTTATTTCTTTTTTATTGTGAAGTGAACAAAGACTACACTCACAAGAATCCAGAGTGGAATAAAGGTTCCAACCACCGGGAGCAGGAACAAATAAAATCAAATGTAATGATAGAAACCTTAGTCAGTTAAAAAACCTGCTGCTGTCATTCTGCACATCTCTGATGTTGCTGCTATTTTCAAATATCCATTACTGGAAAAATGTCCATAGCTGCATATTGGTTATTTATTCTCCAGTTTTATATTGTTAAAGCACTTTACAGAATTATATTGTTTATATTTTAACTCTTCCCTATTATGTTATTCTTATACATTTTTCTAAGGTCCTCATTTGTGTGACCATTTTCAATAATTGTTCTGCTGCTGTAAATCTGCCCATTGTGGGACAATAAAGGGATTTTCTATTCTATTCTATAAAAGGGGTAGAAAGATATAAGTAAATCTAAACAATATATTTACAAAAAATATATCTGCAAAATCTCTAATATTCAACAACAAAAAATACAAAGTTAAGCATATTGTGCAAAACAGCAATAAAAAGATAAAAATCCTATCAGATTTATAGTCCCCACCCTGCAGATATATTAGAATCTGTCCTTAAATTACAGCCAAACCCATTTACACAGTAACAGATTAAAACCTTTAGATAGACCAAACATTACCGCCACATATCTGACTCAATAACCATTAAAACAACTATTTTCATTCATTTCAGACGGAACTATTCACTGACTTGTATTATATTAAACTGAACTTCCAATTTTCACCACTGTTCGGCGCCAAGTAACCTTTCCTCTGATCACAGCTTGCTTGGTCTCGCAATGAATCCTGGGATATCCAAGAATACCGAGGATACATCGGACCCGTCCTTCAAATCGGGCAAAAAGAAGGACGCATTTTAAGGCCGCATAACGAGGACTCTTGGAATCCGACCAGACCTCGGCACCGCGCTATGACGTAATCGGCCTTCGAATCCGGACTTCTAAGGATGCGTCCTAGGTTTTCGAACAGAGCCTCAGTCTCCTTCTCCTAGTTCCCTTCTAGTCTCCTCTGTTCACACCTGCTCCCAATCTGCTGATCAGCCTGGTCTTTGTTTCTCTCTCCCATATATGCGCCTCCTGCTCAGTCACTGTTGCTGGTTTGTTGTCATTTCTTTGCCCTCTTGTTGTGAGTATTCCTGTTTCTCAGTTTTTGTGGATTTTGTGGACTCTTTTTGGCTTCTGTTTACCCTTTTTTGACATGAAATCTGCAAGTAACCATCTTCAGCTTTATGGGCCTTTCAGATAGGAAGCGATTTGCGCTGCGCTGGCCGCGGGGTTCAGCGCATTTGCGCTGCGCTGCGCCGGCTGGGTTGCCGGGTCTAGTCATTTGTTTGTTGTTCCAGCTTTTGGTCAGCAGCAAATATGTATCTGACCCGTGCTAAGAAGCAAGCGCTAGCACTAGCCCTGCTAGTTCGAAGAAAAAGAGCAGCAAGAAAGAAGAGGCTGTGGGTGCACGAAACACTCAGGTCCAGAGAGCAGCTTGGGGAGTTCCCGCTTGTGAAAGAAATTGCAAACTTGTGTCATATAGTTCGGGGAATTCAGACACACACAGTATAAGCTTTTCCTCCATTTTGCTTCCTGGTCTTTCCAGCCGATGGTTTCTATTGGCCACGCGTGCATTTGTCACGGCGCGCCGCGGTCAAAGTTCAACATAGTTCAACTTTGACCTGGCGTGCGCGCGAGCTCGCGAAGCGCTGCGCTATGCTTGCGCTTTGCTCGACGCAGCGATAAACCGCCCTGGCGCGGCGCAAGCCATTGAAAAGAATGGGTTTCACAGCGCAGCAGTGCGGTCGTCGCAGCCTGTCTGAAAGGCCCATTAGTGTCTGTCCTCTCAGTGGCGGATCTAGACCAAATGTACCCCGGGGCCCAG